GCGGATTAACTGAGTGGTAACTGTAGGCATATATGCTGTATGTAGAGGAAGTATATCACAAGCACATGACTTTGGGGTTTATATTTTGACCCTGGTGAGCAGAACTGTCTCTGGTTCCTGTTTGCCTTCTACTGAGCTGTTTCTCTCCACCACATCCTTCTCTGTGATGTTCTGCTTCACTCAGGGCCCAGAGCTGTGGAGTCAGCCAACAGTGGACTGAACCTCTGAAACTGTGATATATTATAATCAAACTGGTTATAAGACAAAAGAGAGTATTAAAAACAGCAAGAGAGATGTAATACTTGATACACCAGGGATCCTCAAAAAAACCCATATGTTTATGGCCAATTGACTTTTTACAAATACCAACGCCATTCATTGGGGAAAAGAACAGTTTTTCAATGTATCATGCTGGAACAACTGGATTTCCACACCCAAGAGTAAGGTTGGCCCCCTACTTCATACTCTATAAAAAAAAATAAGTCAAACCAATGACCTAAATATAAGGGTTAAAACCATAAAACTCTAAGAAGAAACCATAGGAGTTTCTTGAAACTCATCACCTTGAGTTTGGCAATGGGTTCTTAGATATGAACAGAAAGTCCAAGTAGAACAACAACAAAAAAATTTGATAAATTGGATTTAATTAAAATTAAAAACTTGTATGTGTCAAAGCCTATTGATATAGTTTGAATTTTAAATGCCCCACCAAAACCCATGTGTAAAAGGCTTGGTCCTCAGAACAGTGCTACTAGGAGATGGTAGAAGATTAAGAGGTGTGACCCAGTGGAGAATGTTCAGGTCACTGAGGGTGTACCACAGAAAGGGACTGTGGGACCCTAGTCTCTTATCATTCCTCTTCACTTCTCAGCCACAAGGTGAACACTTTTGCTCTACCACACATTTCTACCATGTTGTGCTTGCTCACCCAAAGCAACAGGTCAACTAATTATGGACTAAAACCTCTAAAACTCTTAGCCAAAATCAAACTTTCCTCTAAGTTGATAATATCCAGAATACATAAGGAAGTTCTACAAATGAACAACATAGAGACAACCAACCCAATTCAACAATGAACCAGGGACTTGAATAGATATTTCTCCAAAGAAGGAATATGAATAGTCAATAAACACAAGAAAAGATATTCAATATCATTAGTTTTTAGGAAAGTGTAAATCAAAAACACAATGAGGGGTTGAGGATGCAGCTCAGTGGTAGAATATCTGCTTAGCAGGCATGAGGCTCTGGATTCAATCCCCAGCACCAAACAACAAAAACAAAAATACAACCACAATGAAATACCTCTTCTCTCACCTTTTAGGATGGCTATATTTAGAAAAAAGAAGAACGTAAAATTGTTGATGAAGATGCAGAAAAATCAGAACCCTTGTATACTGCTGGTGGAAACGTAAAGTGGTGTAGTCACTCACTGCTCCTCAAAAAGCTATATGCTGAATTAACCATATGACTCTATAATTCTACTCTTATTTATATACCCCAAAGGCCCAAACACAGGGACTCAACCAGATACTTGTATAAAAATTATGTTTGAAGCACTATTCACAATACTCAAACAACCTAAGTGTCTGTCAACAGATGAATGGATAAATAAAATGTGGTATGCGCTTTTTATATTATTCATCCAGAGAAAAGAAGGAAGCTCTGGTGTATGCTACAACATGGGTGAAGCCTGACAACATGGTTTTCAAGGGAAGTAAGCTAAGTGAAAAGAACCCCTATTATATGAAATATATATGATAGACAAATTTATTAAGTTTCCAGTGGATGGGTGCTGCGCCCCTCCCCTGACTCAGGCAATGGCAAGGCCCTACTGAGGTGGAAGGCACAAGGCGTCCATTCTCTGGAGGAGTGCAGTATGCTTCTAGGAATTGGCTGGTTTGTTTTTGTATTCTTTTAATAAGTATAGTTGCGACTTCTCATATGACCATTAAGTATGAAGGAAAAAAAGTGACTTTCCCAATTAATGCAACTACTTCTAAAGAATAAATCTGTTTGCTCTAAATGCAACGATTCAGCTGTGGAATGTAAATTGTTAATGTTTAATGAGAAACCCCCTGTGGGAAAAACAGTCAAGGAAGTTTTTGAGAAATTAAATTAAATCTAGAGAAGAAGAATTAATATTAAGAAGAAAGATTAGTGCTCAGTACTGGGCAACTTGTTCTTGTTCCTGTGCACAATGGTTTGTGCTCTTGCTCGTTTGATTAAAATTAGTAGCCTCTCTTTTCAAGTGAACCATTTGCCATAACTGCAGCGCCGGTTCTAGTCAGTAAGTCAAGAAAGAATAGTCAAGGTACAGGCCAATAGTCTGGGACATTTCTAACTATTATTAAAAGCTAACTAAGCAGAAACAGCTCAAAGCAAAACGGGAACTGAAAGTAAAAATGCTTGCTTATGCATAAGCCAAGATACATTCTTCTTATCTAATTGTAGCTACGTAATATTTTGTTTCTTTGAATAATGATTCCTGTTTTGTAACCACAAAATACTTCGAGCCTGCCAAAACGCAGAGTATATATGATTAACTTCACAAGTAAAGATTGGGATTCAGCACCTTCACTTTTGTGTCTGTGTTGTTTCTCCACCCCGTTTCCCTGACTCCTCACCATCCATTTGTCTCCTGAGACCCCCTGCCAGAGCTGGACTCCTACAGATGGGAGGAGGGGAGAGTGGGAAGTTATTGTTAAATAGTGTGTTAGTGTTCTATCACTGTGACAAAATACCTGAGATAAATCAACTTGAAGAAGGAAATGTTTATTTTGGCTCATGGTTTCAGAAGTCTCAGTCCACAGTTGATTGACTTTCTTACTTTTGGGCCTATGTCAAGGCAGCATATCATGGCAGTGAGCATGAGGGGGAGTGGCTGTTCACCTCACTGTAGTGGGGAAATAGAGAGGAAGGGGATGGGATCAGGGTACCAATATCCCTTCAAGGGCATGCCTCCAATACCTAACTTCCTTCACCTAGACCCAATCTCCTAAAGATTCTACCACCTCCCAGTACACCATGGGCTGGGGACTAAGCCTTCAACATATGTGCCTTTGGAGGACATTCAAGATCCCAAGGAGAGCAAATGGGAACACAGTTTTTGTTAGGTGTGATGGAAAGTTTTTGGAAATAAATGGCCATAATGGTTGTAATCAATGCCACTGAATTGTACACTTTAAAATGGTAAATGGCAAATAACATCACACACACACACACACACACACACACACACAAATGATATTTTAAAAAAATCAGTTTCCCAAAGGAAAGTGGATGCTGTTAACAGGAGGGCAAGAGCTATCATTAAATGAAATCCAAAATTACCAGCTCTTTGATAGCTTAGCTAATTTGCTTGGCCTTAAGGTAGTTTCACTATGTTCCATTTTATTCTTAAATAAAATATGGGGAGTTGAGAAGAGGAAATGTATAACTGGATTATCTGCCTCCTTGCTTAAATACTTAATCCTATTTTTGCATTTCTTCAACTTAAAGATGAAATGAAAAAATGGAAATCTTCAAGCCCCTAGAGGTGATGCTTGTCATTGATACTAACTCTAATCTCATTTTGAGAGCACAGACATCCTCCTAAAACTCAAGAATACAAAAATGTCACATCTCACATGTTGGCAATAATTGCAACAATACCAGATTAGCAGGAAGTTCTTTTCTTTCCCTTTTAAAACGGCCTTCTACTAAATTGTCCTAGAGTCAACCACCATTCAATTTACAACGTTCAAAAAACCCAGGGATTGTAGGCATTCCAGCTTCCAGTCCCAAGCAGAAAGCTGCTGGCTCAGTCCACATCTGTGATTTCTCCTATCTACCACAAAGTGGCAGTGCTGTACCACAGTCATGCATGACCAAGGACCGGGTACTAAAGCTCCCTACACTTGCTTTTCTATTCCAAAATGAAGATGACCTCTAGGATTTGGGCTCACAAGATAAGGATGCCCGGTTTTCTGGCTGGGGAGCACACAGCGTTATGAGGGCATCTCAGGCCATATTCCCACCTCTGAATACCAGGAATTCACAGCAGCAGCAGACAGACCAACCTGACTCAACACTGTGATGTTCCACTGTAGGTAAAAAGTGAAAAGAAATCTAAAACCCAAAGCCTTAAATCTAAGCAGAGAAGAACCAAGAACTGACATGGAGTACAATCAACAGCAAGTTTCACTAGGAACATTATAAACGCAGGCAAAAGCTTCTCTCTGCTTTAAGCATGAATAGACCATCCCAGGACACCAAAAACAAGCTTGGAGAGGGCCAGGGTCCTTGGGAGGGGCCACAATGGCAGGTGGGCTACCAAATAAGGTGGCACCAGAAAAAGGCTGAAAAAAGAGACAATTAGCCCAAACTGCTCACCAGTACCCTCTAAACTCCCTCCCACCCACCAACTAACCATAGGCTCTTTCACTTTCTTGGGGATGTCCTTCAGCCCTGAACTTAATTGTGTCAATTAAATTTCTTTTTTTAACCCATACACCTTTTTTTTTAATTTTTTTTTATTGGTTGTTCAAAACATTATAAAGCTCTTGACATATCATATTTCATACATTAGATTCAAGTTGGTTATGGACTCCCAATTTTACCCCAAATACAGATTGCAGAATCACATCGGTTACACATCCACATTTTTACATAATGCCCTATTAGTAACTGTTGTATTCTGCTACCTTTCCTATCCTCTACTATCCCCCCTCCCTCCCCTCCCATCTTCTCTCTCTACCCCATCTACTGTAATTCATTTCTCTCCTTGTTTATTTTCCCATTCCCCTCACAACCTCTTATCTAGCTTTCCCCAACACCTAGCAAAACTACACCACACACCAACACAGACAATCGACACAGATACAGCCAGAGAGATCATTTACATCACCGCAGATCCTTTTTATAGCCACAGCCACTTCCCTCCCTAACTCCTGGTAACCGCTAATCTGCTCTTCATTTCTATAATTCGTCCTTTCAAGAAATGGAATCATACAGTACGTAACCTTTTGGGATTGGCTTTTTTCACTCAGTGTAATTCCATGGGGATTCAAGCCGGCTGTCGAGTGGATCCACAGCTCATTCCTTTTTGTTGCTAAGCAGCATGTTACGGATCCTCCTTTGTTTTAATCTGGATACACACCAGGCTTGCGGGAGGAGGGCTCCTCCACTGCTCGATGCAGCACCTGTCCCAGCCCAGCCTCCAACAGCGCAGAGCCAAGGCGCGCCTCCTTATTATCAGAGGGGCGGGGCGGCGTGCAGGGTGGTGCTTGTTTGGGGGGCGGGGCGACGTGCAGGGTGGAGCTTGTTGCGGGGGCGAGGGGGCGTGCAGGGTGGAGCTCGTTCTTGGGGCGGGGCCTCAGGGAGAGGGCGGGGCGCCTCCACGCCGAGTTGGCAGGGGGCTCGCGTGCTCCAAAGCGCAGCCGCGGCGGTACAGCGAGTGGAGCCTGCGAGGGCAAGGTTGGGTAGCTGGAAGCTAGCGCGCACACGGAGTGTCCTTTCAAGGACGCAGACGTGCGAGCCTTTCCGCCACTTACCAGGGCGCGCTGGCCAGAGAGTGAGTGCCCACCGGCCAGGGACCTGGGGGCTGGGGAGGGACTGCAGGCCATAGAGGTCTCTGGCTTACAACTTGCCAGCTAGACTGTAGATGTGTGTCCCCGTGGTTCCTGGCACTCCGGGTCCTGGACCGGCTGGAAAATATGATCTCTTACCTCTCCCTGGGCGCCACCGCATGCCAGGCACAGTGCTTCACACGAATGATCTCGTTTATGTGCCCTCAGCCCCGTGAAGTAGGTGACCGCATTATCCTCATATTACTAATAAGGGAGCAGGGAACCCGAGAGCACCATTCACGAAGGGTGCCATCGTTTACGGAAGCGCCACGGAACCGCTGTAGTTTGGCTGTGCTTTCAAAAACATTGTGGTAATTAATGGGGGGGGGGCTGGGGGGCGGGATCTTGCTAACCAGTAATCTCTGAAAATAACAGCTTCTGTGAACTTTAATCTCTGGAAACCTCAGCCAAAGAAAAGACATGAAAAGAAACTTGTATAAATCATACAGACTTCTAATACTGCTAGGTGTAGTTCTGGGGTGGGGAGAGGAGAGTAACCTAAATGAGCACAAAAGGCAGGCAGACAATGGCGTAGCTACACAAAGAAATGTCTAGCTGTTCCAGTGACCAGTGTGGGGCCTGACTGTGGAAAGAGACTTAGGAAGTAATAAAGTGAAAACTTCATAAAATAGCATTTGGATGCATTAAGATGAAATTATGTTTATGTCAAAAATAGAACACATTTGGTGTGGTATGTATAGTTTAAAAGCACATGACTCTTCCTGTGGACTTGGGTAAAACTTTTATCCTTTGTTGGTTTCCAACAAAGGTGAGTTGTTCTTGCTGTGGATGGGGTGCCTGAGGGTGAAGAGCCTATGTTGGAGATTTGTTTATTTTGAACAAGTCCCTCATTTGTGGGCCTCAGTTTCTTATTCTTAACCTCTAGACGAAGTGGATGATTTGGAATTGGGAACCCAGATTACTAAAGTGGCTATTGAACGGCCAAGACATGTGATAGAAATATTTCACCTGAGCCAAGCAAGACATAGGGAGTGGTGAGGCCTGGGAATGCTGAAAAATGCATAGGGCGCCAGGAAGCATTTAAATGGAAGCATTTGATCCAAATCAAGATGTCTCTGGTCCCTCAATTTGACAATCTCAGGCTGAGCATCTCTGAGTCTGCAGTGACACTGGGAACCTTTCAGTACTACTCTTCTACTTAAGAGGCTCCAGTGGCTTTTTGCTAGGCTTAGGATAAAAGTTTTGTCCCTTCCCTATAAGGTCAGCTTGGTTGGACCCCACTCAACTCTGACTGTATCCCCTATACCTCTTAAACAAACCAACAAACGAAACTGAAACTAAAAACCATATTTCAGCCAAATAGTCCTTCTAGTTCCTCAAACCTTTCAGCAGAGTCCCCACTTCAGCACTTATTTGCTATTCTGTCTGCCTGGACCCCATATTTTTCATGGCAAACTGCATATTCACTGTCCCTGTTTGGAGACCCCTTCTTGAGCTCCCTATCTAAAATAGCAAACATACTCCTGCCCAAAGGTATTTTATTTTCTTAGCACTATCACTATTACTTATCATCATCATTAGTACATATCTCTGTCTGGAATTCTGTGCCTTCCTTGTCTTCTTGTTTATTGTCTCTCCCCCCACCCACCAAAGAGTAAGGGTTCTATTTTCATCTATTTTGTTCATCTCTGTAGCCTTGGCACCTGGGTGCAGTATCCAGCCAGAGGGTCAGTTCCACCTTTTTGGCTGCTATGAATAATGCTGCTGTAAATGTGGGTGCACAAGTGATCTCACCCTGCTTTCAATTTTTTGAAGTTATACCCAGAAGTGGAATTGCAGGGTACATGGTAACTTCATTTTAAAATGGCACCTCTGTACCATTTTTCCATAGCAGATGCACTTTTTACATCCACACCAACAGTCCATAGGGGTTCTAAATCCTTCCACTTCCCACCAACCTTGTGGATTGTTGATTTTTTTGATGATAGCCATTTTAATGGGTGTGAGGTGATATCTCATTGTAATTTTGATTGGTTATTCCCAGTGACCAATGACACCAAGCACCTTTTTATTTGCTTAGTCCTCATTTATATATCTCATTTAGAGAAAGGTCTATTCCATTCCTGTTCTCATTTTTAATTGGGTTGTTTGTTTTTTGTTGTTGAGTTTTATCTGAGCTTCTCCCCCGCCACCGCCCCTCAGTGGGAGTAGGTTTCTTGCAGGACCTTTGCTCTATCAGCATGAAGCTAGTTTTTCTGGAGATGGCTAGCCAGGGGTGAGGACACAGCCTCCTTTGTGCCTCTGAGGTTTTCTTAGGGAGAACTAACATTTTTCTTTTTTTTTTTTTTTTTTGGTGCTTGGGATTGAACCCAGAGCTTTGTACATGCTAAGCACATGCTCTACTACTGAACTCCACCCTGGCCCTCTGGAATCATATCGTGTGCTAGCCACTACACACACATATATGTATATATGTGCATGTGTGTGTGTGTGTATGATATAGATATCTCCTGAACCATTCTGTGGCTTTGTAGTTGAGAAGGCTGAGGCACAGAGAGGTACAGGGACTTGCTGCAGGTCACATAGTTAGACATAGCAAAACTGGAATCTGGATAAAATTCATCTCATATGGAAGTCTCCACTGGCCTAGGCTACCTCCCTAGAGAAACTTTTGAGATCTCTATCTAGAAACAAGATCTGAACCAACTCCTTATTTACAGGTAGGAAAAGCACCCAGTGACACCCAGTACTATCTCCTGGGCTTCGCCAACACCAGCTGGGTATTCAGGTGCCCTGCGTGCATGTCAGCTTATTAATGTGCCTGCCCTTTGCCTCTTCACCCTCATGTATTACCTAAAGGCTGAGAAGGTACAGTGCCTGCTTCCTGCCTGTGACTCGTTTCTCAGGTCCTCTTCTCTATGGCTGGCTGCCTTCACTGAAGGTTCCAAGTCCTCTGAGAAAAAAGAAGTGTTGGTTTTGATATTTGGCATGATTTGTCCTTGGAGGCCTGTCTCCAAAGGAAGCCTTGCCTCTCCCAAGAGCCTTTTTTTCTAATGCATGCGCATGTCCTCCTGAAGCAGAGAGCCTAGACTTTGTACTTGCACCTCACCTCTGCATTCCCCACCTCCCTTGAGTTGACTTTGTCTTTCAGATTATTGGGATCACCAAAGAGAGTGACTGCACCTGAAAGCCTGGGGCCGCCACACCAAATCAGAGGAAAAAAATCAGTCTTCTTCGGGCATGGCAGGTAATGGCTCATTATGGGGGAGTTAGACTTTTAATCCAAGATTGAATATATCATTTGATATTTTAAAAATCTAAACCTAAACAACACAGCAGTGTGTACAACCTATTTACACCGTGGATCACTCTCTGGAATTATCTTGTTTTGAATATTTTTAGTTTTCTTGTCCATTTTTACCCACTCCGGAAGGCAAGTTCCTCAAGAATGGAGGCCATACCTACCTTGTCTTTACCCTGCCTCCAGTTCCAGAAATCATCCCTCTGACATAGTAGGTCCTCAAAAAGTAGTTGTTCAGTGAGTGAGTGAGCCCCAATTTTAAACTACACTTTAAGTCCCAATTTTAAAATGATTTCGTCTCTACTTTTTTTTTTAATTATTCCAGTTTTACTTTTTTTGTTGTTGTTGGTTCTTTGTTCTTTTTCTTTTTTTTCAGTACATTTTTTTCATGTATGGTAAGCAGAATCTCTGCCACTGAGCTCACCCCCAGCCCCATCTATCTGTACTTTTATGTTTGTTTATCATGCATGCAGGCACAGACACCTGCACACCTATACAGTGAATTTTGGAACTTATTTTTTTCACTCAACAATATAACATGGAAATGCTTTCATTTTAGAATATATGTATTCACTTTATTCTGTACATTCTACTATAGATTTGGATGTTTCGAACTTGGCACTACTGATATCTGGGGCCACATAATGCTTTGTTGTGGGGAGATCCCTGTGCCTTGTAGACTGTTTAGCAGAGTCCAGTGACTCTGCCTGCCCCCACCAGTGACAACCAGAAATGGCTCTGGAATTGGGAAATATCCTCTGACAGGCAACACTGCCCCTAGTTGAGAAACATTGGTGTAGGATTTCATTCACACCCATTCTCCTGGTAAGCCCCCAAGTAGAATTCCTTTATAACATTGGAGTCGGAGAAAGCCAAAATTAATAATTTACTTAACTCATGGAATTCAGCCCTTTACATTCAATTGAATACCCTGCTTCAAGCTAATATATGTATTTTCTCCTCAAGATCCTAGACTGCAAAATTTAAGTCAAGTATTTAACATTTTAGACTTAGATGTTACCAGAGAAAATCACCAAGTTACCTTCTAGAAGAATTCAGTACATAATCCCACAGACTCTCATGAATGTGGACGATACTGTGTTCAGAAGCCTCTGCTGTTCATGATACAGCTAGTGCCTATAAAACCTGTTCTTAGAGTCCTCTTTGCCTTAGCATTGCCACCAAGATATGGCTTTCACCTAGTCCTGCCTTCCTCAAGGGACGAGGGGACAGTTCCTTGTGTTTTGTTTAAGTGCCCAGTTGCCATAAACCTGGAAGATGGAAGCACAATGTGCCAGCCTGAAAGGGGCCATAGCTGTAGGGTTGGCACAAAAGATGAGTTCTGACAGCTTTTTATTTTGGTGTTTGGGAGTCAGGCTAAAACTTCTCATAGAGCTAACCAGATTATATCAGGCTTTTAAGGATTTAATTGTGTAGTTTCGTTTTGAGAAGACATAATTTGGCCTGCTGTGTTTGTATGTACAGGTTGAGCATCCCTAAAGCTCCGAAACATTTTTCAATTCATGACTCTAAAATACTCTGAAATCCAAAATTCTCTGAACACAAAATTTCAGATTTTAGTATTTCTGATTTTGGATTTTCATATCATGGAGGCTTTACCTATAAAGTCTACACAAATATTCCAAAATTTGAAAAATATGAATTCCAAAATACTTCTGGCATTTCAGATAAGGAATACTCAACCTATATTTGCACACTCAAGTAATGATGAACTATGATATAACTGAATTTAAAAATGTTAATTTTAAAACTGTCATCCAGTAAGATCATTGGTATTGCTTAGCTTCAACGGCAGTGATGCGTCTAAGCATATAATTTTCATCTTAGTCTTCATGGGATTTTGACAAAGGAGAATGGCTGTTCAGTAGGAAATGTTCCTTCTCCTGATGTAGGTAAGAAAGTGCTCATTGTCTATGCACACCAAGAACCCAAGTCTTTCAATGGCTCCTTGAAGAAAGTGGCAGTGGATGAATTGAGCCAGCAGGGATGCACCGTCACCGTGTCTGATTTGTATGCCATGAACTTTGAGCCAAGGGCCACAAGGAAAGATATCACTGGTGAGTCACGGCATAAATGCTTGGTTATTTTTTAACTTTCTTCTTTGTATTCTTTAATTTTAACATGTCTTAAAAAGCTAATCATTGCACAAAATATGTAAATCTCAGGTCAGCAAGGAGTCCAAAGTGCCAGGCTCTTTTCCCTCCTATCCCCCAGCAACCCAGTTTCTCTGTTCCCAAGGTAGTCAGGATGCAGTTTTCTCTGTGTCCTTTCTGAGATAGTCCTTGCTATATAAGCAGTCATGAGAGTATTCTTCATTTTTCCTCTACATTTTACAAAAACAGAAGCATATTATGCTCATCATTTTACAAGTTGCTTTTATTTTTCTTATTGTGGAAAGTATTCCGTTGTATGGCCATGTCATGGTATCTCCCTACTAAAGGACATTTTAGGTTGTTTCTGATCTTTTGCTATCAAAAACAATGTTGCAGTGAACAGTCAGAGTCATATGTGTTTTCCCACATATGCAAGTTTGTCTAGAAGTGGAATTACTGGTGAAAAAGAGTGTGCATTTTAATTTTCCTAGATAATGCCAAGTTGCTCTCCATAAATCTCATACCAGTTTACACTATTGTCAGCAATGTTTACAAATGTTATTTCCTCACTGTCACCAATAGTATTGACAATTTTTTTTTTATAATTGCCAGTCTAGCAGGTGAAAAGATAGTGTTCCAAATAGTTCTAATTTGTCCTTCTCTCATTGTGAGGTTTATTATCTTAATATTTATATTCTATTTATTAATACTTATTTGTATTAACATTTTATTTTTATTTTTAATTAACATTTAATAAAATATTAAATATTCTCTTTCCGGTGAATTATCTGTTCATATCATCTGTTCATTTTTCTATTGAGTTGTTAGTCTTTTTATTATTGATTTTAAAAAGTTCTTTATATACAAAAAGCCTATAGTATGGAATATGAATTGTAAATCCTTTTTGTTAAATAATCTTTTTTTAGTTGTTGATGGACCTTTATTTATTTACTTATTTTATTTATATGCAGTGCTAAAAATCGAACCCAGTGCCTCACACTGCTAGGCAAGCACTCTACCACTAAGCCACAACCCAAACCCGAAAACATTTTTACCTAATTTGTTTTTGTTTTTGTTTATTTGACTTTGCTTATGGTGACTTTTTCCTTTTAGCTTCCATTTACTTTCATTTAGTTAATATTTGATCAGTCTTTTTCATTTATGACTTCAGGAATTTGTTCAATCCCCAGTGCCAATTTAAAAGGAAGGAAGGGCTGGAATTGTGGCTTAGTGGTAGAATGCTTGCCTGGCACGTAGGAGGCACTAAGTTTGATCCTCAGCGCCACATAAAAATAAATAAATTAATTAAATAAAAAGCTTAAAAAGGATGCTATAAAAAAAATAATAAAAGGGAGGTTGGGGCTGGGGCTCACGGAAGCGCACTTGCCCTGCATGTGTGAGGCACTGGGTTTGATTCTCAGCCCTGCATAAAAATAAATAAAATAAAGGTCTATCAACAACTAAAAAAAAAATTAAAAAGATAAAAGGAAGGAAGGACGGAAAGAAAGAAAGAAAATATCTAGGAAAAATTGCACTTGTAGTGAATATAAAAACATTTTTTTCTGGGCTGGGGATGTGGCTCAAGCGGTAGCACGCTCTCCTGGCATGCGTGCGGCCCGGATTCGATCCTCAGCACCACATACCAACAAAGATGTTGTGTCCGCCGAGAACTAAAAAATAAATATAGAAAAAAAAACATTTTTTCTTGTCATTGTTCTGTAAACAATACAATATAACAACTACCTACATAGATTTACCTTGCATGAGATATTAGAAGTCATCTAGAGATGATTTAAAGTCTACAGGAGGATGTTTGTAGGTTCTATGCAAATCCCACACAATTTTATATAAGGGACTTGGGCTTCCATGGATTTTGGTGACCTGGAAAGTCCTGGAACCAAACGCCTGTGGATACTGAGGGACAACTATAGGTTTAAAGGGCCCAGAGGGGTCTCAGGCTTGATGTAATATGGCAGCTATGACCCCATCTAATTACCTCCCTGGTGCCACACAGCCTCTGGCCTACAGTAGTTACTCTCTTCGGTTTTCTTGAAAGACAAGATTTATACCTAGAAGCACTGGGTGTGTATTCTTTGAATGAAAATCAAATACAAATAGGTTAAAAAGAGGAAGCAAAGATTCTTTTTTTTTAATTACAAATTGATGGCTAGTTCACTTCCCTTTTTGGCTTTTCTCAAAGTGACTTCAGGTTTGCACATGGAACAGTGGAGGAAGTCACACTTGCTTCTCTAGTCATCCCACCTCTGTGCCTGTCTCTGCTACTTAGGAATCGGGTGTCACCAAACAAACTACTAAGCTCTGTAAAGTTCGGCTTTCTCACTGGTAGAGAACTAGTATGATGTCATCAGTTGTTAGGAGCATAAGAAGGGTGATGGGTGCACAGCACAGCATCTGGTGGGTGGGAAATGCTCACTGAGTGGCCCTGGTAGGTTCCTTCTCGTACCCTAACTGGGTTGGGTCACAGCAAATGTCATTGACTCACTTTGAGGAGTCCAGATGCACACAGCATTAGTGAAATTGTTGGGACAGGCTGTGACCTCTCACCTGGAAGTGAGAGCACTTGGCTCTTTCCTCAGGTGACCTTTCTAATCCTGAGGTCTTCAGTTATGGGGTGGAAGCCTATGAAGCCTACAAGAAAAACTGTCTAACCAGTGACATCACTGAGGAGCAGAAAAAGGTGCAGGAAGCTGATCTCGTGATATTCCAGGTTTGTTTTTCCTTTAATTAATGTATTGAATGAGATTCGTCCTACATAAGACTCTTTGCAAATACTACATTCTACACTCCTAGAAGTGGCAACAGTGTTTTCTTAGCACATTTTCACACACTTACTGGGTGAGTGTTGTACCACAGTACTTAGTTACAACACTTAGTTGTAACACTTACCTAGTTACAACACTTTACTTAGTTTAGTAGAGAGATTCATGCAGCCATTATAGAGTTCTGACCCCCTGTGTAAACAGGAGTGAATTTTTCTGTTAGCCCAGTGGTCCACAAACAGTAGAATCATGCAGGTCTTGTTGTGTTCATTTTCTTTAAGTCCCCACCCTGTACATGCTGGGCCACTTGAAAGCCAGTTTTCTCTACCCAACTGTTTATCAAAGATGTGGGTCAAAGGCCTCAAATGTTTATCAAGGTAATATCAGTCAAAGGCCTGATTATTATGGGGAAAAACTTCTGTTTCCATCTTCTCACTAGTTGAAACACACACACATACACACACACACACACACACACACACACACCAGCCACTTTACCTGTATTTGACCCAAGGAGAATATAGGCTCCTTTCTGCCATTACAGAAGAAGCAGTCAAGTAAACACATGTGTTTAGGGTAATTTGTGGGTTAACAGAAATCCAAGTCAAACTGGAAAGAAAGGGGAGTTCATACCAAGGGCTTTGGTCACTTGAGTCTCCTAGACAAGCAGCACAGAGCTGTGGCTGGGCTACAGGGACACAGGACCCAAGCTGGAACATCTTTGATGTCTTCCTCACCAGATTCCATCCACATCTCCCTGCACCTTGGCTCTGTTCTCTCTCTCTCTCTTTTTTTTAACTTTTTTTTTTTTCAGTTGTAGTTGGACACAATACCTTTATTTTATTTACTTATTTTTTATGTGGTGCTGAGCATCAAACCCAGCTCCTCGCACATGCTAGGCAAGCACTCTAGTGCTCAGTCACAACCCCAGCCCCTGGTTCTGTTTCTCTTGCTGCATGCCAAGGCCTTGATTCCCTAGATCCAGAATTTCCAAGCAAGGGATCTGATTAGTCCCAGTTGACACCCAGATTTTAACAACTCACCCCAGGTGTGGGAACTGTATGATCTTTCCACAGCATCTTCTTCTCAGTCGTTGATTGGCTCAGTCACAGGACTGCTGCCCCAAAGCCAGTGTCAAGTTTTCATCTCTTCCCTGTGCATGGGGATCAGCATCAGCGGGGTGCAGAGCCAACATAATAGCAACAGGACCATTTTTCAACTACGCCCCTTCCCACTATCACCACACCTCAGAGCTGGCCATGTTTATTACCCTTACCCACCCAGCCACCAGGGAGGAGGAGAGTGGAATTTGTTCTGTATCACCAAACAGACTAACTTATGAATCCTGAGACAAGCCACAGTATTTCTTCTTCCTTATATGCTGTCCCCAGTTTCCGCTGTACTGTTTCAGCGTGCCGGCTATCCTGAAGGGCTGGATGGACAGGGTGCTGTGCCAAGGGTTCGCCTTCGACATCCCAGGGTTCTATGATTCTGGTTTTCTCAAGGTATGTGCTCTAGGGACAAGGATCACTGGACTATTAGAGAGGAAGGAAGGAGGAGGCAGCTATCAAGTTATAGTTTGCTGCTGTTTTTTTTTGTTTGTTTGTTTTTTTAAGTAAGTGCTGATTGAGCATCTGCTATGTGCACAGCGTTGAGTACTGGACACAGATGAGGAAAACCATCATTTCTGAACTTGTGGATCTTTCCGTTTAGTGGATGTGGGGGCTAAGTACTGGGCTAGGGATGAAGTGGGCAAGTTAATATGGGCAGCAAAGTGGTCAGCCCTGGCTCCAGAGGTCATCTACTCCATGATGGAGAGACCATCCCTGGCCTTATGAGTTCATCCCTCTGAACTTCACATGTGGGCCTGATGAAACAAGATAATGCAACACCCACACTGCACAATGAGAAATGCATGGAATCTGGTAGATGCATAATGTTAGCAGCTATGAATTTCTTACTAAAAGAATTTCCTGCTAAAATTAGAGACTCAAATTCTGAAAGCCTCAGAAAATGAGTGTATGTGAGGAAAGCAAATCTCATAAACAAGATCTGTCTTGGACCACTAGTGACACCGTCATTTACTGAGTGGCCAGTGAGTGCTGGGCTCCACTCATCTCCTCCTCAGCTCTGTAGACAGCACCTAAGTAGTGACCACTTACATGGTGTCTCTGGAAGCTGGCTTCTGCTGGAAGTCTGGGCATGTTAGAGCTTTTTCGTTCACTTGGTCCCTTTGTTTCATTCTACCTCCTGTTGGGATATAGCTGTCACCTGTGGTTGGGCCTGTGGGAGATGTGAGTGACCCTCTATTTTCCCCTGGCCATTGCCAGCATCACAGTAGCACTCACATCCTCTTCTGGCATCCGCATTAAATGCATTTGCTCTCTCTCCTGCAGGATAAACTAGCCCTCCTTTCCTTAACCACGGGAGGCACAGCCGAGATGTACTCAAAAGCAGGGGTCAGTGGAGATTTTCGGTACTTTCTGTGGCCACTCCAGGTAAACAGATGACAAAAGGCTTCCATGCCATGCTAGCCTGTTGTACATCCCCACCTCTCCAAGGTGTGAAATGACATGTGATGTGAGCCTGCCACCCCACACCATTCTCACTGTATTTGGATACAGACGGTAACATTTTGCCCTTTTGAATTCTGACTTGGGAGCATTGAAAAGGCTGATCAATAGGGAATATGTATTGTAATTGTAGCCTCTGAGATTTGGCCCAAAGCTAAGCCAAACCTGGTTAGCTTGTTGTCTGCTTTGTGGAGACTAGAATGGCTCTGAGGTAGTTCCAGGTGTGTGTGTGTGTGTTTGTGTGACGAGCATGTGGGAGGCCCAAGAGAGCCTTTCATGCAGACCCTCAGCCCTGGCGAGAGGTGCCCCTGGCCCTGTGTTCCATGTAGCCTCTCAGGAGCCTCTGCTGGCTGAGCTCCCCGTGGAGATAGCCCACACTCCAGGTACCCAAGACTCTGAGCTTCCCCACTCTGACCTGCTCTCCAAGGTGGACTCTTGATGCCTTTGTGAACACCCTGGGCCTGATGAGTAGCCAAGGAGTGGGCATCTGCCAAGGGGAAGGCAGTAGGCAGAGTGAGTTCTAGCAGTCTCGGTTGTCCATGTGCAAAGTGCTCCCCAGTGAAGGACAGAGCAGGGGGCAAGGATGCAGAGAAGCACACTCTAGGTGAGGGACTCTGAGGAGACCTGAAGCTTCCAGGCTGTCATGAGAGATTTCTATCAGAGGAGAGCATATATAGAGAAGAGCACAGCCTGTGAGCTTGTTGTAAAAGATATAGATGTTGTGGCAGTAGAGAGTATAGCTCAATGGTAGAGCACACACTTAGCATGCATGAGGTGCTGGCTTTGATTCTCAGCACCACAAAAAAAAGGAAAGAAAGAAAATCAAAAGAAGAAGTAGGAATTGCCTTTTTTCTGTGAACATGCTTTGCCCACGGGTCTGTTTTTTTTTTTTTAATTGATTTATCAGCATTCTAGATGTTAGCAAAATTAATCCTATTGTGTGTCTTTTCAAACCATGAAAACCTTCCTTCCAGGTAGTTCACATTTATTTTTAAGTGAATTCCTTTCCTTTGTTGCTGATTTTGTCAACTTTTTCACTGTGTCTTCTAAAACTTAGTTCTGTATTTATGGAGGCCGTTGATTTCCAAGTACTACTTTTTCACCCAGACCATTTCTGATTTCTTCTGTTGATCATAATGGTGCTTCTGAAAAGCTGACTTCTGGAAATAATGTTGTGTGAGAAAAAATACTGTAGTAAGAGGTGTGTGAGCCTCTCCCACTCCACCTACCCCCCTGATTGGGGCAGGCCTGGACCAGGATGTGGGTTTTAAAGAAAGCAGTGCACAGGACTGAGTGTGAGATTTCTAAGAAAACAAGTGATCCTTTTTGAAAGGAGAAAGAATAGTGATTCCAACTAGTGACACTCCGCTGAAGTACTAGAGGACAGTTAACAAGTCTGAGCTTCCTTCTTCACAGGCCCACTTACATTCTTTCTTTTTTAAAAAAAAAATCTCTACTTTGTTTTCAGTTTGCAAAAATACATGTTACAGGACAAAGGGAGATAATGTAAAAAAATAATAATAAAAAGTCCCCTCAATCTATAACCCCACAAAATCATCACTTTTAATCACTTGGTTTATTTTCTTAAGACCCATATATATTCTTATACACATAACTTTTATTAATAGGTTAGTTATGTTTATTGCTCTTTTATATAAATGGCATACAACAAGTAATGCTTAAAATTTGTAGTTTTCATTTAACAAATAACTTCAACTATAGTGACATACTATATCTAGAAAACCCTTAGTCTAGAATGATCCATCCTATGAAGGTACCATAATTTGTCTTGGCAATCAAAACAGTGACATTTAGGGTTGGAAACAGCAGTAATAATTGCAGGTGAAAATCTGTAAATGCTGGTTGCTCCGTGCTCTTCTGCTCATTTATTCCCCACATCCTGAGGTTAAAACGGAGTCACAGGTTTCCAGACCTCGGAGCTTTAGAGCTGTTTTATTTTTTGAAGGTTTATTTTTTATCATTCTCCCTTTGATCATTTCACTGAATCATACATCAAGGATGTGGTTTCTGATCAGTTCTTTTCTTTATGTCTTCAGCATGGTGCTTTGCACTTCTGTGGATTTAAAATTCTTGCCCCTCAGATCAGTTTTGCTCCTGAGTTTTCATCAGAAGAAGAAAGAAAAGCAATGGTGGCATCTTGGGCCCAACGATTAAAGAGCATCTGGGAGGAAGAGCCCATCCGCTGCACACCCCCTTGGTACTTTGGGGAATAACACTGTGTGTCCCATGTACATCGTGTGCGTGATGCAGTTAAGAATACATGCAAGGAGATGGTACTGTCAAAAATAAAATTAGGGGCTGGGGATGTGGCTCAAGCGGTAGCGCGCTCACCTGGCATGCGCGCCCGGGGCGCTGGGTTCGATTCTTAGCACCACATAAAAATAAAATAAAGATGTTGTGTCCGCTGAGAACTAAAAAATAAATATTGAAAAATTCTCTCTCTCTCTCTCTCTCTCTCTCTCTCTCTCTTTAAAAAAATAAATAAATAAAACAAAATTAGAACAAAGTGAACTGGATATAGTTAATAATCTCTATGAAGTCACTATGAATGAGTGACCTCAAGAGTTTTATACAGCCAGATCAGATATTGCAATCATCAGTTTACTGTATTGAATTCTGCTGACTGGTAATTATTTACTTAAGCTTTCATTTCTTTAATGTGTGTTTAATATCTATCTTGCTATGTTCAACCTTCAGGATGATTTTAATTTTCAGATAGTTCTCTGGACATGGAGCTTGATTTGTATTTTTCTGTTTGTTTTTGTTTCATAACTCAGCTGGCATAACTCAACTAGAGAATTTTTGCTTTTTCCCCAGGAAGTTTAATCCATTCGTAGCTAATGTTTTAGTTCTTTATTGGAATATAACTCCCCTATTTTCTTTTCACTTGCATTATTACTATGAAGTTTTAATTGAACAGCTGGTTAGCATGTATTTGGAGCCATTATGTGCTGGTTACAGTGAAAATTTCAAAGCATTCTGCCGCTATGCACATGGTCTCGTGACACCACTGCTAATTATCCTGAAGCACAGGAACAGGTAGATAGAGGAATATCTCTGAATGCAAGTTTAAGGGATCACATATTCATCGTCATCATCATTCCTTCCCCCTGTTGTCACTACTGAACAAAGAGCCTGTGCCCAGGGGCCCTTCTTCCTTAACCTTCCCAAAGCCACTCTTAGCCACCCTCATTGGACTGCTCAGACAGCTTCCTGCTGGAGTTACCATCTTGGTCCTCCTGTCCTCTGCGTCTTCATCTTGCTTCTCACCTGCGTCCCTCCTCCTCTTCAGCAGCATCTTCAGACCCTTTTCCAACTGCATTTTCTAGCAGATATTTTTCCAGATACACCTTCTCTTCTGAGTCTTCACACTCTCTTCAGGGCTTTCCTCACTGAACATTCATCATCTTCAGATAATGATCTTTCCAAGCCATTTTCTTCTCCCTGTTTTCAGGATAATTTTTCAGTATTATTTTTGGAGCCATCTTCAAGTTACTTTTCAGAGTAGTCTTTAGACTTTCTGAGGAATCTTAAGACTTTTTTCAAGTACCTTCTTAGAACTATCTTTTGGGGCTTCTTTTCAGGGGCTAACTTCTTTAGCATTTTTTTCAGAAGAATTTTCTTTAAAATCTCCCCATCTGGGCTGGGGATGTGGCTCAAGCGGTAGCGCGCTCACCTGGCATGCATGCGGCCCGGGTTCGATCCTCAGCATCACATACAAAGATGTTGTGTCTGCTGAAAACTAAAAAAAATAAATAAATATTAAAATTCTCTCTCTGCCTAAAAAAAAAAAAAAAAAAATCTCCCCATCTTCTGCTCCCCCCCAAGCATTTTTTCATGAATAGGTCTTTTAAATACCACTTCACTATGGCCTCTTGAACATCCATCCTGGATGTGCTAGGGTACCCCAAAAATGCTTTACTTTAGAAAGTCCTGCTCTTTAAGAGGTAAAGATGAAATTGGAACCCTGAATGCCTTTGTTGGCCCCTCTTAGCTTTGCAGTCTCTTCAACCCTATCCTCTGCAGATCCATCTCATGCCTTGAGGGGAATTTCTAGCCAAATTCATTTGTTTCATGAAAATGTACTGAGGGTAAAGCTTATCAGGAATCAGATCAGGTGTTATTTTCACTCAGTTTTGACCTTTGTGCTGATTTCTCCCAGCAGGAGCTAGCAGTCTGAGAGAAGAATTTATTATTACCTCCATTTTACAGATGGGTGAGCTGAGACTCAGAGTTGCAGCAACTTGATCGGGGTCCCAACGTTACAATTGGCTGATCAGAGAGCAAACCAAAATTTCTAGCCAAATGAATTTAGCCGCCCACAGTTTACAAGAGACATATCTAAAACAAAAATCCAAAAGGCAAGGAAAAAGAAACACTGCAAATGTAGTCACACAGCAAGCAGCACTTCAGTCCCTGCGAGACCACACATTTTAACAGTGGTCCTAAGGTACAATGGAGCTGAAAACCTGCTGCTACCTAGTGACCTGGTAGCCTTTGTCACGTTGTAGTGTAGCACTTTCCTCATGTTTGTAGTGAGACTGTAGAGATTTGTGCTTTAGGACATATCTTTGGTAAAGATAGACAATTTGATATTTAAATCCATGTTGACTTTTAACTGATATGTTTGTCCACTTACCCTTTTTAGTGCTTATAGATATATTTGGATTTTTTCCACCATCACATTTCGTACCTTCAATGTGTCCTGCATTTACTGTTCATTTTTCCTCCCATTCTAATCTTCTTTTGGATGACTGTAGTTTTTTTTTTAATTATTATTATTATTTAGTTGTAGTTGGACACAATACTTTTATTTCATTTATTTTTATGTGGTGCTGAGGATCGAATCCAGGGCCTCGCACATGCTAAGCAAGCGCTCTACTGCTGAGCCACAACCCCAGCCCTGGATATCTGTAGTTTTTAAATTCCATTTTTTTCTCTACTAATTTGGCTGCCAATTTCCTTGCTCTTAGGGCTCATCTTATCTAGAAACTTGAATACACATATATCACTTGAAAACCACAGTTAACCATGAACTTTAGCCTCCTACATGAACTGCAGTTCCTGTCTACTTCACCTCCAGTCATATAAAAGTGCAGCACATACAGCATGGACAGTAGAGGGTACTTGATAATGATAGGAAACAACCGCTACTGGATTATGTGTTTTCTATACTTTATTGTTATTCTAAAATGTACTCCTCCTATTCATGAAAGAAAAGTTTAGGAATGGGGATGTAGCTCAATGGTAGAGAGTCTGCTAAGGCCCTGGCTTCCTTCCCCAATGCTAAAAGACAAACAAAACATCAACAAAAAAGTATTGTCAGGTAGTATGCTGTGTATGCCAGCAGCAGCCTCCTCCATCTACATTTACCCTGTCCTTCGATTGCACCAAGAATGATGACCATAAATGCGACATCCAGATTTACATAAGTGCACTCTGTAATTTTTGTACAATAATGAAGCCACCTAATTTCAGGTTTCCCAGAATTATCCCCATCCTTTATTGGGGGTGGGGGAAGTACTGGGGATTGAACTCAGGGGCACTCAACCACTAAGCCAAATCCCCTGCCCTGTTTTGCTTTTTATTTAGAGACAGGGTCTCACTGAGTTGCTTAGCACCTTGCTTTTGCTGAGGCTGGCTTTGAACTCAGGATCTTCCTGCCTCAGCCTCCCAAGCCACTGGGATTACAGGCGTATGCCACTGCACCCAGCAGAAGTACCCCCATCTTTACCAACCTACTTAACTCAAAAGAAGAAGGATAGTTGTATTAATCTGTTAAGTCCCAAGTTTTCAATTCTGTGCATATTTTAATGAAATTGATAGAGGTGCTCTAAAATAGGTGGAAATCATAACCTAGCATTTATTACATAATTTATTATCAATAATATTAATATATTAATATTAATATTAATGAATATATCACTAATCATTCATCTACTCCTTTTCTCAATAGAAAAATATTTAAAAACATAAATATTGGCTGGGCATGGTAGCGCATTCCTATAATCCCAGCAGCTTTGGAGGCTGAGGTAGAAGGACTGCAAGTTCAAAACCAGCCTCTACAACTAATTGAGGCCCTACGCAATTTAGCACGACCCTGTTTCAAAATAAAAAATAAAAGGGCTGGGGAATGTGGCTAAGAGGTTCAATCCCTGGTACCAAAACAAAACAAAACAAACCATAAATATTTATTTCAAAATTGCCATCAGTGGTATGTTTTTGGGTGTTCTGTAAATGGGACAATCGGACATAATGAGTTAATATCAAACAAAATTAGACAATAGAACAAAAACCATTAGTAGAGATGAAAGTCTCTGTAATGATGAGAATTTTGATTCAATTTGAAGTTAAATTGATTATAAACTCTTATCTATCTGGTAAACAGCTTTGAACTACATAAAACAAACATTAAATTGTAAAAAGAAGCTCAACAAATCCACTATCAGAGTGGGAAATTTCAACAGACTTCTAGTAAGTGCTAGCAAAATACATAAAAGAATAAATAGCTGAACTAAATTGATGTAATAGGTATATAAAAATCACTGCACTGCACAGTAGGAAAACTCATATTTTTCTCAAGTATTTACTGAAAAATTATAAATATTCTGACATCAACAAATGTCAAACAATCTGTAACACACAGAAAACGTTCTTTGATAAAAGTGTAATGAATCAGAAATGGGAATAAAGATAACTTTTAAAAAATGCCTAACGTGAAACTTGACAACCTTCTTTTCATAACTCTTGGATAAAAGTGGACATTACAATGGAAAATTTAAAAATTGCTTAGAAGTGAATATAATGAAATTACTGCATTATTAAAATTTGTGGACTACATCTCAGACAGCCTTAAATGCTCATTAGTGAAAAATAAAGACTGAAAATAACCAAGCTGAATGTCATATTCAAGAGATAATAAAAGAATACATACACACTCACAAATAGAAGGTATTTCACAGGAGATACACACATTAGATGCCACTCTAATTATTAAAAGGAAATTCAAATTAAGAGCACAATGCTATACCATTCTGCATCTACCAGTCTAGAAGAAATCTTAGTTTAGACAGCCCCAAGTATTAGTGAGAATATGGATCAACAGAATTATAGAGTATTTTCACATCTTACTACTAATCAAAAATTAGTTAACCTTAGGCACACATATCAAGATGTATGTATTTAATAAGTAAAAAGTTGAGTGAAAAAATGCAGGATATAGAATATCCCTTAACAAAGAATAAACACAAGTCAAAGAAAAAGTTACTCAAGGATACATACTGATGTGGTAAAATTACAAATATTCAGGATAGTTGTGTGTTAGGAGGGGACAGGCTTTTAAAGGTATTATTAATGTTCTATGTCCTTAGGTGATGAGTACACAAGTATTCATTTTACTGTTTTTGAAGTGATAGTTGTAGAACACTTTCACACAGGTAAAATCATTTGTGATGAGTAATAATAAGATAAATCTAGATATATGTTTTCTAAAAAAACTTTGGTTACAGAAACTCCGGTATGATAAGTGTGTGCACTACCATCAAACAGTGCACATACACATTATTTTAAAATCCCTTTGACACCAAGGCAGGCTGGGGAAGGGTTGCATGAATATGAGCGAGTTGCCCCTCTGGAGTCCACATGGGCATCCTCTGGGGGTTGGAAGGGCTCTGATCCATCAAGGCAAGCCCATCCCACAAGCCATACAGGTCATAAACCTCACAGTGAACCCAAACAGCAGGGTCAGAAAGATGAGTGCTAAAGGCCAGGTCAGACTTTTCAATTCACGAATCTTTTGAGGTTTGGAAGCAAAAGTCCTGAGAAAATCCCCAGGGGTTCTTGTACAATTTAGAGTAGGAGCAGGGAGCCCAGCTACTGAGGGCATTGGGGCACATGTAATTAAATGGAAGAAAATACATTCTTTGATTTCTAAACTGATAGGGCAGCTGACACCAGGTGCCTTTGATATGGGACTGCTTTACTGTGCCATAGCCACACATAACCAGCAGGCGGCAGCAGGGCCCTGTGATAATCCGAAGGCTGTTAAGGACACTGGTTCCTCCTATTCAGGTTGAGAACACACCTCACACCTCTGCTCTATCAAAGTGCACCCCAGGAGAAAGGGGTTATAGCTGCCAAAGAACCCAGAGCTGTCAGGAGATCCTCCTCTTGGATTCCTCTAAATCAGTCATAAATAAAATCTTCAGGAAATAAACAAACAAAGAAAGCCACTCTTGAAAGACTTGAAACATAACTTTGGGAATCAGAATTTAAAATAATAACAATATTTTATTTTCAACTCCAATGCTTGTAAAAAGCGTGAAGCAGATCATTTGAGCATCATGTACAGTATTTTCTCTTTAGGGCCTGAAAAGATCATTCTAAACCGGGAATTTACTATTTTAATTGTCATTGCCCTGGCTCACACTTCAGCATGGTGGAAATATTATAAATATTCTGACTTCTGGACAGAGGATATTTGCTATTTCATCTTCCAGAAGGATAATACGCTTTTCAAGGATTTCTGGAATGTAATGCTCCACATCAGGGAGAGGTGAGGTGAAGGCGGAGGAAGTGGAGGAAAGCAGGGAGGAGAAAGAGGCAGCCAAGATGTGTTGCTTTGTGCTTTGAAATGTATTTCCTTTAGCATTTTGGAGAAATACAAGACTGGGATTAGTTTTTAATAACTTCTAGTTAATTGTGTTTTTCTTTGTATAATGTGAGGCTTTGTCTTAAGTCTGTAGCACTATAACAGAATACCACAGATATTGCATTTTATTTAGAGACAGGGTCTTACTGAGTTGCTTAGCACCTTGCTTTTGCTGAGGCTGGCTTTGAACTCGGGATCTTCCTGCCTCAGCCTCCCAAGCCACTGGGATTACAGGTCAGATTTCTCATGAAAAAAAAAATATATTTGGCTGATGGTCCTGGAGTCTGGGGAACTCAAGATGGAGAAGCCACTTCTTGCTGTGTCATCCCATGGCAAAAGGCAGAAAGGTAAAGACATAAAGAAAGCAAAAGAGAAGACAGGGAGGGGAGGGGAGAACAAGGTTGCTCTGGCCCTTTTATAAGGAAACCCCTCCCTCAGTAAAAGCATTAATCCATTCCTGAGGGTAAGTCATCACATGACCCACTTTCCAACAGGCCTTATCTCTACATTGATAATCAAATTTCTAACACACGAACTTTGGGGGACACATTCAAAGCATATTGGCATGGGACGCGTGGTTCCCTGAAATGTTTTATTATGATATGGTCACCTCCTAACTGGATGCCTAACTTCTAACCTTGTCCTTGTCTGCATTCTACCAAAGGATCTCTCATAAACCCAAGAATGTGGGGATGTGACTCAAGTGGTAGCATGCTTACCTAGCATGCGTGAGGCCCTGGGTTCAATCCTCAGCACCACATAAAAACAAAATAAAGATATTGTGTCCACCTAAAACTAAAAAAAAAAAAATTACAAAAAATAATAAACCCAAGAATGCTCCAAGTTAACCCTCCAGCATGAACTCCTGCCCTTGCTGTCCACTGCTTCCAGAATAAAGTCCAAATTTCTCAGCATGGCAAACAAGACCTTTTGTGACATGGCCCTACCTACACTCTGGTCTGCTTTCTGGACAAGGCTCCATCACCCTCCCCTGGCTGCCATAAACTCTGGCACACTCCCACCCTGGCACACACAATCCTCATGCTTGAGCAGGAAATTCTTGGACCAGTGAAATGTTTGTCTACAATGATCATATTCTCCTACCTCTCAGACCATTCTTTCTGGAAAATCCTAGGAATTCTCCAAAATTCAGTTTAAGAATGCCCTGTCTAGAAAGACACCCTCATTTGCTAATGAAGGTAATCTGCCCACCTATAGTTGAGCAGATTTGCTGTACCTCCTTTAAATATCTGTATCCTTTCACTTTATTTTGCTTGTTGACTGTGAATAATTCTGACTGAAATATGTTTTCCAAGGTTAATTGTACAGAGGGTGCTGGGTGAGTCACTTAGCCCCTCTTCCCACATTGCTCAATGTATTTTTGGTTCCCTTTTACCCATCCATTCTCCCTAATATATTGCAAATAGAAAACAGTATTGGAAAATCTGTGCCAGGAATGGCCCTGGCACATTCTAGAACCTCAATGAACATGTGTAGAATTGAAGGGGCAAGATTATTCCATCCTGTCTGACACACATGATCTCTGACTTGCTTGGACGGTCCACTGGTCTTAGGAGTGAGAATGCCTACATAAGGGAGACCCCTCCCCAGCTACTCTTGGCAAGATTCTTCAGTGGAGTTGGAAAGTCATGAAGGACTCCAAGAGGGGTCTCTGGCCAGAGATATAATTGAGGAGCACAAGAAGTTTCAAAGGAAGCTGAGCTGGTGTTTTGGGGGGCCAGTATATTTCAGGTTCTTTTTCCCTCTTTTTAAATATATTTAATATCTTTAAACATAAGATAAGCCACCTATCTTCAGGTTAGAGTGTAATATAAGCATCATACATATACTTATGTGGACATCAAGAAATAATGCTGTTACAAACTTATCCCCCCCCCCCAGGAAATGAGATTGCTATAATCAGAATCACAAATTGTAAATTCTGAATCTCCAAGCTAAATACAGATAGAAGACTCTTCCTCCAGTGTGGTGGCTCAAAGATGACCTCCTTGTGTCAACTCTGCTCCTTCCACGGTCCAGGCTACAGGCCTCCTTGGACCTTGGCATTACCAAGGCAAGATTGTCAGGGCATTGCAGCAAAATAAGCCATCTACCTGGCATGTTTGGAGAATTCAAAGAAAATACTCATAATCTTTTTTTCCTGTTGATTGTTACATCTCCTTTAAAAACAAAAAATATATTAATAATTGACCTGAGGGGTTAACACCTTTCCAAGGTATTGATTACAATCATGTGACCTTGCCAGTTCTGAGTCACTGAGGCCACTTGCTCCATAATGTACACACTCTGATAAGCTTGGCACTGTGTGGTCTGGGGAAAAAAAGTGGGTGGGCCCCCAGGGTGCTCTGTTATCTAAACTGACCCAGAATAAAGCTATAGGTCTGACTGACTTGCTCCTGGGTACCTGGGGTGCTGAAAGTAGAGCCAGCTGTGCATTTGCTGCCCTCTGGTGGCAAATTCTGAAGAGAGCCTGGGGTTCTCTTCAGTTCATGTAAAGAGCTTAGCATCCTCCTCCAACTAAAGGATGAATGGGTGAATGTTTTCATTTGCCTCTGATTCAACTCCTAGACTGTTCCTACACACCTAGCTCCAAAGCCTAGCTCAATTTTTTCATGTAACACTGCTAATAACAACAGTTAACATTGATTGAATGCTCCCTCTACACACTACATAGTGCTGCATACTTTGTATAAAGTATGTCATTAAATGCTCACTTGTGTATGAAACAGGTATTATTACTAACAGGTTGAGCATCCCTAATCTGAAAATCCAAAATGTGGAATGATCCAAAACCTGAACATTTGAGCACCAACATGATGCCACATGTGGAAAAATCTCACACCTGACCTCATGTAACAGGTCCAGTCAAAACATAGGCACTCTAAAAATATTGTGTAACATTGACTTTCAGTTATGTGTATAAGGTATATTTGAAACAAGTAAATTTTGTGTTTAGACTTGGGTCCCCTCCCCAAGATATATCATTATTTTTATCCAAATGTTCTAAAATCTGAAAACACCTGAAATTTGAAACACTTCTTCCCAAGCATTCTGGTCAAGGGATACTCAACCTGTAGTGGCGTTCCTGTCTGATGAACAAATGGAAGCCTGAGAGGAAGTAAGAATTAAAGAGCTTTGGAGCTAGAATAAAATCCTAACCCTAACCCTAAGGCAGGTCTGCTGCCTTCAGAGTCAAAGCTGTACCATCTCCTATGCTGCAAGCTGAGTTAGATATCTGTTAAAATCACTCCCAGGCCAGGCATGGTGGCTCACACCTGTAATCCCAGTGGTTCCAGAGGCTGAGACAGGAAGATCGTGAGTTCAAGGCCAGCCTCAGCAAAAGTGAGGCACTAAGCAACTCCGAGAGGTCCTGTCTCTAAATAAAACACAAAATAGGGCTGGAGATGTGGCTCAGTGATCAAGTGCCCCTGAGTTTAATTCCCAGTACTCCCCCAAAATATCTCGCACACAGTCCCCACACATTTAAGGAACAGAGTGCTTTGCCTGGCCTATTCCAGTACTGACCAAAGCTGTAGGTCAGTTAAGGCTAAAGCTTAAGGATCTTGCACAGTTATGTAAGACCTTGAACAAGTGTCCAAATCCAAACACCAAAGCGTCTTATTGACACCAAGTACAGGATGGCCAGTGGCCTATTATTTCAGCCATGAAATGGCAAAGAGCACTTTTATTCTCTTTGTCATGGGCTCTCCCTTGACTGGGTCCTTGATTTGGTCCGTGCATTAGGAGGGAACAGCCTCAACAGGGCCAGGGTCCAGCTAATAGTCTGAATATCAATAATATAAAGGGGCTTCAGCCACGGAATTCCACTGCTGCAGTCACGTCAGATGTAGACCACAGAGAATGGGAAGAGAGACTTAAGCCAATTCACAACCAACTGTTTAACCCGATAGGTGAAAAGATGACTGGATTTATTTCTAGTAATTATCAGTTCAGCTATACAAAAAATAAAGATAGGCTCTGAGCACAGGTTCTCCCACCATACTGAAGCATGGTGTTTCTTTCTAAATTAAAAAAATATATATTTTTTAAAAGTATACTACTGAGCTAAGTAACAAAAACATCATGTTATTGGTACCAAAATAGAGAAAACCAATAGAATAGAATAGAATAGAGGAAAGAGAGACAAACCCACATAAATACAGTTATCTCATACTAAACAGGGGTGCCAAAAACATACACTGAAGAAAAAAAAAATATCCTCTTCAAAAAAAACGGTGCTGGGAAAACTGGAAATCCATATGTAGTAGAATGAAATTTAACCCCTATCTCTTTCCCTGAACAAAACTCAACTCAAAGTGGATCAAAGACTAGTTATTAGACCAGAAACACTGCACATACTAGAAGAAAATGTAAGCCCAACACTCCTACATGTCAACTTAGGAACCAACTTTCTCACTAAGACTCCTAAAGAACAAGAAGTAAAATTTTAAAAAAATAAATAAGGATGGTATCAAACTAAAGAGCTTCTTCACAGTAAAGGAAACAATCAAGAGCATGAAGAGAGAGCCTATAGGATGGGAGAAAAATCTTTGCCCTTTGGACATCAGATAACATGTTAATTTCCAGAATACACAAAGAATTCAAAAAGCTTAAATATTGGGGGCCATGAATGAATTGCCACCTCAAGGCAGGGGTATAGCTCTTCTGAGAACTCTCAGTGAAATCCCACATATTCGAGACTGCTCAGATTATGTTGAGGCCCTCTCATTGGCTCACACAGCTCTAGGTTCAAATGCACCAGCCCAGAAGAACAGGCGGTGGGTGTAACCTGCTAAGCCCCAGCCAAGTTGATTTTGCCATCTTCATCCTGTTTTCCTCAACAAGTTCTTCACACTGAATCCCATTGGTGTTCCTACCCACATGAATAAAGCCCATAGGCTCCATTTTGTTGTTAGATCCAGTCTCCACTAGATCCTGCCATTTCGCTTATTTCCATGTCTTGTCTTTTTTTTTTTTAATATTTTTTAGTTGTAGATGGAGACACTATCTTTATTTTATTTACTGATTTTTTCATGTGGTGCTGAGGACTGAACCCAGTGCCTCACGCATGTCAGGCAAGTGCTCAACCACTGAGCCACAACCCCAGTCCCTCCATGTCTTGCCTTTATGTCTTAAATTTCTAGTAATATTGCTAATCTGACTTACCACCCCAGCTTGGGGAAACTGAGTAAATATCACGCGGGTTGTGACACTTAACACCAAAAGAACAAATAATCCAATCAGCAAATAACCCATTGAAATTCATTTTGCTGTCATGTACAATTAAGTAGAACAAATAAAAAGTTTAAGAAAAAAAACAACAACTGTGACTTCTGGGGCAAAGGAGATGTTTAAGAGTATCACTGGTGGGTAGGAAGTGGCATCTGGGAGTAGGAGTGAGAAACATGAAAATGTGAATAGAAGAGACAGGGAAATAGAAAATTAAGAGGAAGGGGAAAAATGAAGGTCCTAAGAAGAACTGCTGTTTACTCCTAACCACTCACCTGAAACATACTCTAGATGTGTTTAAATAAATCTCCATAGCAAAAAAAAAAAGTCAAGAAACTTTGGCCACAGGATCCTGTATTTTGTTCTCAAAAGAAGAAATACAAATGGTGAACAAATATGTGAAAAAAAAAAAGTTCAACATCTCTAGCAATTAGAGAAATGCAAATTAACACTACAGAGATTTCACCTCCGTCCAGTCAGAATGGCAGTTATCAAGAATACAAGTAACAATAAACGTTGGTGAGGATGTGAGGAAAAAGGTACACTCATACATTGCTGATGGGACTGCAAATTAGTACAACCACTGTGGAAAGAAATATGGAGATTCCTCAAAAAAACTAGGAATGGAAATACCATTTGACCCAGTTATACCACTCTTCAGTATATATCCAAAAGAATTAAAGTCAGAATACTACAGTGATGCAGCCACATCAATGTTTATAGCAGCTTAATTCACAATAGTTAAGCTATGGAACCAACCTAGGTGCCCTTCAACAGATGAATAGATAAAGAAAAATGTGGTATATGTATACAATGGAATATTACTCAGCCTTAAAGAAGAATGAAATTATAGCATTTACCAGTAAATGGAAGGATCTGGAGACTATCATGCCATGTGAAGTAGGACAATCCCCCCAAATCAAAGGTTGCATGGTCTCTCTGATATGTGGATGCTAATACACAACAACTGGGTGGGGGGCAGGGGAATAGAAGTTCAGTGAATTAGACTAAGGGAAATGAAGGTAACGGAGGGAGGATAGGAAAGGAAAGGCAGGGGAATGAATCTGACATAACTTTCCTATTTATATAGGAATATACCACAGTGGATCTCAACATCATACATCCTAATTAGAAAGATAGACTCCATGTCTGTATAAACATGTCCAAATAGACTCCACTGTCACATATTACTAAAAAAAAATTTTGTGGGGTACCATGTGATATTTCAATACATGTACACATTGTGTAAAGTTCAAACCAGGGTAAACATACATATCTCCTCCAACATTTATCATGTTTTTATGATGAAAACATTCAAAACGCTTTGTTTGGCTTTTCTGGGGTGCTCCTTTCTTTTTGGCTAGCTAGGTCTCCTTGGTGTGCCACCCCAGTTCCTACTGTACTAGTTAGGTGTGCTAGTTATCCTGAAGGGCTGGGTGAACACAGTCATCCAGCTGTTGAGGGTTTGCTATTGTAGCCACCAAAAATACTAGGAACCTGACTTCAGGTTTGTATTTTGGAATAGATTTCTTGAGTTTACCAAGAACATTTCATAAAAACTTTAGACGTCCTATTTTTCCATCTTATCAAGTTAGACTTCTGGTCTACTAGATATATTTTATGATTATTATTATTCAACAAATTTCTATTAAGCTATTGTGTATGGGGCTGCGTATCCTGAATGAAAAAAAAAAAGATGAGGAAAACATGGAGCACATTCATAAAACAGATATATGAAAAACTGTGGTATATATGTGTAATAAGAATTGTAATGCAAAAAAAAGTACATGTATAAAGTCATGAATTGGCGTGAACATACTCTATATACAAAGAGATGAAAAAATTGTACTCTATGTGTAATAAGAATTGTAATGCATTCCACTGTCATGTATTTAAAAAATATAAAAAATCATTAAATTAGAAGAGACATAGACACACAAAAATAACTGTAATACCTGGCAGGGAATGTTATATCTGTTTCTGTCCTTGACTTGTTTCTCTTTACTAGTTTGAACTTCCCCACCTGAGTTATTGTAAATGCTTCCTAGGAGAGGTCTCTTCTGCTCCTCACACAATTATTTCCTATTCCCAGGATAAATTATCCCTCCTTTCATCTACCATGGGGGCACAGCTGAGATGTCCAGCCAAGCAGGGCTCGGTGTAGGGGACTGTGACTTCCTGTGGCCTGTGAACATATTTAAGCCCCACATGTTTCCTTCTGGCAATTGTGTGCCCTGGCATTCGACCTTCCCTCCACCTCTGGGCAGAACAGACACAACTGGGTCCTTCGTGATCTACAGTTTGTTATTAAGAGCTGATTCTGAAAATAGAAGTAAAACCAGGACTGGGAGATAATATATGTTTCCCTAATTTTTCTCCTTCTTGATCTTTATAGCACTGAAGTGGAAAAAAAAATGACAACTGATAGTGCCTTTGAATGAGACTCCCAAGAGTTGACTCACTGAATCCTTCAGGACAGAGTCAAAGGCAAGCAAGCCTTCTGCACCACTTTCTGTTGCATGACAAATTATTACCTACACATACGTAATAAATGCCAAGAAAAGTCCAGTATCTCAAGATCTGAAACAAAGTACAGCTACAATTGCTTTGTGAAGGATGGACTTAAAGAAAAAAAAAAACAATATAGAAGAAAGCCATTAATTCCAGGATGAACATGTGACTACTTAGAAAAGGAGATTGGTGAGTGGTTCTAAGAACTGATATTCTGGAGGAAGTGAGGAGCCTCAGGATTCCTCATCACGGGAAACTCCCTTCCCTCTTGACTAATACATCTGCTATGTGAGCCTGCCACAGTCATAAAAGATGTTAGTGTCAACAGAAAAGAAATGCATATTTTGTGCATTTTGCCTTTACATAGAAGAGGGGTTTATTTTTAATTAAGTGATATTTAATCCTCTCTTAAGAGGCATTTATAGCGGCTTACATGTAGGGGGTGATTTCTAACTGGTTCCTTTCTACCTTTGGGATTTCTAGAGAGAGCTAGAAATCAAGCCAGTCCAAGGATGCTATATTCCATGGTTTTTCAGGAGATGGGTTTTGCTCCCGAGGCTACATCATGAGAAAAAAAAGGAAAGTGAACGTGGCCACATGAAGACCCTCTGGAAGGAAGAACCCATCCACTACATACCCCTTTGGTAACTTGGAGAAATAATGTTACACACTCAGTCTATCAAAGAGTAGTCAGATGGGACCGTAGCTAACTACAATGCACAGAATAGTTGGTTAGAAATACTTCAGGTGTCAGTTACCAGTCTACTGCCTGCCTCTCAGCTCCCCATGCCACCCTGGGGTAAACGTCAGAATTCCTTTAAGCACATCTGCTATAAAGCAAGTATACATTTGGTGTCCTCTGAGGAAAGCTCTGAAGAGTCAGGAGGAGGAAGACCCCCTACAGCTGTTTCCAGCATGGGCAGGGGTCTGCACTGTGCAGCTAGGACTTCTGGGTTCCCAGCCACCAGAGGCAGCCAGTGCTACCTCATAGCCTTGGTGAACTGACCTTGGCCACACTCCCTGCAGAGAAGCCCTAACATTGGTCTGCACAGCTGCCACCTGGGCCAGAGGTGTCTGCAACAGTCCCTGCAACCTCTGCAGCCCCCAGCTCAGAATACCCTTGCTTGGATGCTGCCTGCCCATCTGTACTACCCACCATGGCCTAGTGCCCCCTGAGCCACTCCAGACCAGCTCCAGCCTGTGGGCTGTCACACCTTCTCCAACCGATCTGAGTCACTCATACTCATCCTTCTGTGGGTACTTCCCCCGTCTTAGGGTACCCTACAGACTCCCTTGTGTCATAAGTTAATTCTTTACATTAAACATCTCCTCCTCGACCTTCTGGTTTGTTTTGTTATTGTTCTTCTTAAAAAAAAATCTGCACATTTAATGATGTGCATAAACTTCAGGATAAATAACTTGGATGGTCAATGACTTTCATGAGCTGGTGTGTTTAATATTTTACAAAGTAAAATCCAAATCTTCTGAAGTCTTCAAAGACCATAATGAAGATACCTAGATCCATAGCCTCATGATACAATCTGTGCTTTCAGGAAGCACATTATTCACTCATAATTATTTTTAATTGCCATTGTGATCATGGAGTTATATTTTCTATTATTACTATTACTTTTTTTTTCTTTCAGGATGTCATGGGAAAATTTATGAAGAATATGTTCATTATATACATTTAGTAACTTTAAACTCACTCTTGAAAATTTATCCTAAGAAAATTATTAAGAATCACCAAGTGGTAGATATTTTACAATGAAGAAAAGACTCCTAAATATGGTTTTGATTGAGCAAATATATCACTTTCATGTAACAGTGTGAACATCAGAAAGAATAGTTAACATATAAAATGCTATCATGGAAAGTGCTACACATGATAGAACTGCATGATCAAGAACTATGGGATTTGATGCTACTTGCAAGCTAGCCTGTTACAACTACTTGCAAGCTAGCCTGTTACAACCTATGTCATGGATACTGGTAGAAGACACAAGATTTCTGGGTCAGAGATAAAGGACTCTATTATTCACAGCAAAGCAGTAGCTAGAACTTATAATAATTATTTCTCTTGTGTTGGTTCCCTACCTTTCCCAGGCCCCAGGAAGGCAAAGCAAAAAAATGCTCACCATGGATGCACAAGAGGATGACTGGGTTACAGAAGAAGACAATGAGATTGTTGATTCACTGCTTTTATAGAAAGCAGAAGCAAGATGCTCTTGTCTGGAGAAAGATGTAGACTCATCCCTTGAAGTCACCCCTTGCAAACACATGGACCATGTAAAGCATAGTCAAGTATTCTTGGCATACCCAGCAAGAGCTTGTATGTGTAGGTGTGGGGGAGGTGGGCACTGCCATGGATCGTCTTGCCTAACAATATAAAAACTAGGCAAGAAGGATGAAGACTGAATAGAAGAATGAAACAAAAATACAAATAATTTTGTTCATGTGGTAAAATTTTCTTAACCCTTTGTCTTTGTCTCTGTTTTCTGTTGCTATAACAAAATAGTGGTGGCTGGGTACTTTATAAAGATAAGAGAATTATTTAACTCACAGTTTTGGAGGCTAAAGGTCCAAGATCAGCTGGCCCTATCTGGCCTCCAGGGAAGGCCTCACGGCAGGACTGTAACACAATGATAAGAACACAGGTGGAAGAAATCACATGGAAAGACAGAAAGCTAGAGAGATTTAGGTGCCAGGCTTATTCTTTTTTTAAAATAATCCACTTTTGAGGGAACTGGGATCCCAAGAGAACTACATTAATTACTTCCAAGGGCAGCACCTCCCATTACCTAGTTTCCTTGCACCAGGCCCCACTTCTTAAAAGTTCTACCACATCCATACTGCCACACCAAAGAAGCTTCCAGCACATGAACTTCTGGGGGACACACTCAAACCATATCCAAACCATAACAGTCTTGTTCTTTCCTCTTGTTAGCTGTATAGGTAAATATGTATGTATGTGTATACATATTCAAGCACTGGGCAGAGAACACTGTCCAAAATCAATTTTCAGAAAACTATGCAAGGAAATTCTCTCTTCCTAGTATTGCCATGTCAGCTTCTTAATATTGCCTAATATATTTCTAATATAGCTCATATATTCTTAATATATTCCTAATATAGCTTCTTATTTTTTGGAGGGAGGTGGCACTTGCCCTCCGAGCCACATCTCCAGTCTTATTTTGTGTTTTGTTTAGAAACAGGGTCTCACTGAGTTGCTTAGCACCTTGCTTTTGCTGTGGCTGGTTCTGAAGTCGCAATCCTCCTGTCTCAGCCTCCTGAGCCGCTAGTATTACAGGCACGTGCCACTGTGCCTGACCTCTAATATAGCTTCTTAATATTGCCTAATATATTCCTTAAATATATTCCTTAACATTGCCTAATAAATTCCCAATATTACCTAATATTGCCAAGTCAGCTTAATATTTTCTAATATATTCCTAACATAGCTAACATATTCCTAATATAGCTTCTTAGTTTTCTTTTTGATTTTATTTTTTATTTGTTCTAATTAGTTATACATGACATCAGAATGCATTTCAATTCATTGTACACAAATGGAGCACAACTTTCATTTCTCTGGTTGTACATGATGTAGAGTCACACCATTCATGCAATCAAACATGTTCCTAGGGTAATGACGTCCATCTCACTCCACCATCTTTCCTACTCCCATGCCCCTACTCCTCACTACCCTCCCTTTGCCCAATCCAAATTTCCTCCATTCTTTCCCTGCTCCCACACACACACACACCATTATGGATCAGCATCCACTTATCAGAGAAAATATTTGGCCTTTGGTTTTTGGGGATTGTCTTACTTTGCTTAGCATGATATTCTCCAACTCCATCCATTCAGCTGAAATGCCATAATTTTATTCTCTTTTAATGCTGAATAATATTCCATTGTGTATACGTACCACAGTTTCTTTATCCATTGATCTATTGAAGGGCATCTGGGTTGGTTCCACAATTTAGCTATTGTGAATTGAGCTGCTATAAACATTGATGTAGTTGCATCACTATAGTATTTTGATTTTAAGTCCTTTGACCATAAACCAAGGAGTGGGATAGCTGGGTCAAATTGTGGTTCTATCCCAAGTTTTCTAAGGAATCTCCATACTGCTTTCCAGAGTGTTTGCACTGATTTGCAGTCCCACCAGCAATGTACGAGTGTACCTTTTCTTCCACATCCTCGCCAACACTTATTATTCTTATATTCTTTTTTTTTTTTAAGAAAGAGGAGAGAGAGAGAGAGAGAAATTTTTTTTAATATTTATTTTTCAGTTCTCGGCAGACACAACATCTTTGTTTGTATGTGGTGCTGAGGATCGAACCCGGGCCGCATGCATGGCAAGCGAGCGCGCTACCACTTGAGCCACATCCCCAGCCCCATTCTTATATTCTTGATAACTGCCATTTCTGACTGGAGTGAGATGAAATATTAGTTTTGATTTGTATTTTTCTAATTACTGGAGATGTTGAAAATTTTTTTCATATATTTGTTGGTTGATTGTATATCTTATTCTGATAAGTGTCTGTTCAGTATCTAAGTCCATTTATTGATTGGGTTATTTTATTTTTAGTGTTAAGTTTTTTGAGTTCTTTATAGATCCTGGAAATTAGTGCTCTATCTGATGTGTCTGTGGTAAAGATTTTCTCCCACTCTGTAGGCTCTCTCTTCACATTATTGATTATTTCCTTTACTGAGAAAAAGCTTTTTAGAGGTATTACAGTTTCTACCCTATAATCTTGTAGTATCCCTGCAAGTTACCAATACCTCACTTTTTTAAGGGGGAGATCAATTTTACTGCACCCAATACGAACAATATGCAGCCTTAAACCAAATAGCTCCTATTTAGGTGATTACAGTTTTGTCACAATAAATAGAATGATGTGTTCAATTATTATCTACAATATAAACAGTAGGTTTGCATAAGGGCCTACAGTTTCTAATGGTGTACAAATTGATGTTTATGAGGTAGGATGTGAGAATATAGAGGTACTGGTTCACAAGAGGAATGAAAAAGGAATCAAAAGAAGTTGGTGTTAGCAGAAGTAAAAAGAGAAAGAGGTGACCCCAAGCAAGGTTCTCCTCTGCCTCTGCAACCAGATGGTGTCTATTAGGACAACTAGAAGGGACACCTCTGGAGCAATCAGGCCTGCAGGGACTTTGGTGGTAGTGTTCCACATCCTGGCTGTTGTCCCTAGATAGAAGCACCCACGTCCCTAGTTGGTGGCAGCAGTAGTGTCAAACCTGTAGTACCTTGATGTTGGGCTTCCAGGCCCCAGCCAATGTCTCAAGACGGAAACTGCCCCAACTAGAGATGGCAGTAGCAGTAGCACATGTATCCCAAGATGGTGGCAGAGGTGTCCCATGATGGAGGTGACCACTTTCAGAGATGGGGCTGGAAGGGCGGGCTGTGTAATGGCATTGGGCAGCCCTTCAGGGATGCAGGGCTGTGGCCGACAGTGCTGCAGTGGGCAGCTGCCTCCAGGCCCTGTCCATTGTTCTAAGGTGAAGGCTACCATGTGGGGAAAGCTATAGCAGTGGCTCCAGTGTTCCAAGATGGAGGTGTCACAGGAAAACAGGGAGCTGAAACTCCAAACCTCAGTTCTTGTGTTCCAACGAAAGAAGATTTAAAGTCAGACACCAAAAGTCATGCAGAAGAACTTTATTAGAAGCAAAAGTGAGGTGAAAATAAAGGAAAGTGAGGCTTAAGCCAAAAGCACTCTCAAGAGAGTGGGCCGTCTCCAAACAGAAAACAACAAAGAAGACAATACTGTCCCCAATTTCATTATTGTTTTATGGTTAATTTGAAAACTGGACTCCTCCTCCAGCAACTTTCACCAATCTGGTGTTTAACTCCTCCTTCACGTGGGATGGTGGAGTTTTTGACCTTAGTTGGTCCTCTCCGAAACTGTCATGGTGGCCATTCTATTTAGGGGGGGTTTCATCTACAAGTCAATCCAATGTTAATGTGGGCATTGGGGTCAATCACTGATCAGAAGTTACTTTAGTGTGCCTGTGCTACTAAAGGAGTCTTCCTCCCCAGATAAGTGGAGATACTTTTATTCCTAGCATCATGTCAACATCAATGGACCCTATTAAGAGTTAGTCCCATTAACCCTTTTTTCTTGACATCTCCTTTTGCTTCTGTTTCTTTTTCTACAAATTGCCACATTTTGCTTTCTTGTTTACTTTGGCAGAAGTAATTTAAAGAACACCTGTGACCTTGCCTGCATTTTAATGCTCATTGCTAGCTACTACCTAACAGAGGTGGTCTGGGGGGAGCCATGCTTTGGTAGATGGGGAGCCAGTGTGGGCACAGTGGTCCTCTCTGTGCCTCTCTGCGCTGACCAGGCCTAGGCTCCCTTACCCTCCATACACCACGTCTCCTCTCCTCACATAGCTTCTTAATAATGCCTAATATATTCCTTAATATTGCCTAATATATTCTTAATATAGCTACTATATTCCTAACATATACCTAATATAGCATCTTAATCTTGCCTAGTATATTCTTAATATTGCCATGTCAACTTCTTAACATTGCCTACTATATTCCTAATATAGTTGATATATTCCTAATATAGCTTCTTAATATTGCCTAATATATTCCTAATATTGCCTAATATTGCCATGTCAGCTTCTTTCCTTTGTCAGAGAAGCCTCTCAGAAACTCCATCTTTCTTACAGATTACAAGGAGCCAATTTCAGCTCAGAATGTTTCATGGGGCAGCTGCAGATATGTATCTCTCCATAGAGATCCCAAGACTTCCTAACTCTGGGAGATATGATATATCTGCTAGGCATTATTTATTCATGAATGATATTTTCATTTCTTCTTTTCATACTCTTGTATTGGTTTTGTGCCATTTTATTTTTAGAAGACCCTCCTGTACAGTGGAGATGGGCACCCACATCTTATTACCTCATCTTCTTAAGGCATTTACAGATCTACCATTAGTGTGATGGATAGTTACTGAACTTTATCAAATATTTTAAAGCATGTATCTAGATAGTCATGTTTTTAACTCTAATATGGTGTTATACTAAATTTTATCAACTGCTTTACTAATTTAAACAACCTTGTGTTCTTGGGAAACTTACTTTGGTTATTTCACTTTATCTTTTTTATATCCTGATGAATTTTGCTTATTAACAATTGGGTTTAAAGTTCTATATTGATGTTGATGAGTTATTTTAGTCTGCAATTTTCTTCACCTGTTCTTGTCAAATTTTAGTACAAAGATTAATCTCAAAAACTGAGGTGAAGGTGCAGCTTCTTTCTCTATACTCTGGACTGAGTAGAGAATTAAATCATTTGGTCTACAGCCAGCCACTGAACACGCCCCATCTCCTCTGATCTCTGAAGCTAAGCAGGGTCCCGCCTGGTTAGTACTTGGATGGGAGAATTGGATTATTTGCATTCCTTGAATGCAAATTGAGCATTTCTTGAATGTTTGCAAAGCACTCACCAGTAAAAGTAAGTAGCTAAAAAGTTTTACAGTAAGAAAAAAAGTTCTAATTCTGATTGTAGTTTGGTTGGTAAATGAGTCAT